TTTTTTCTTAAATTTGGATTCTTTGCATCCTTAAGATTTGATATCCTACTTCGTACTCTATTTTTGTATTTCATGTCTGTATTCCTTATTTCTTGATATATAGGTACTAGGTAGTTAAGGAGGTTATAAAATAATATTAAGACCACATTTTTTCTATTCTGCCAAAATAAGAATTCCTGAAATTTCTAAACAGTTAAAATAAAAACTACTTCCAATTCTAGTAATAATATTACTATCACTCTTTAAAACTGCTTCTACTTGTTTCTTAAACTGTAATTGGCAAATAATAGTGATTATACTCATTACACTGTGAGTGAGAAATGTCTTCTTCCTAATGTTTAATGTCAGCAGCACACAAATCAACAGGGTTCCAGAGAGCATCTCAGGAACTCAATCAAGTGAGCAAGGTTATGAAAAGGAGCTTGCACCTGATACAAGTTGTAACTTGCCCAAACTTGAATTTTATTAAGATCCTGGAAGTATCAGTTTCTAGACAGTTCCCTTGAGGTCCCTCTGAAAACAGACATTCACTATGTCTGTGGTGATTCATTTCTTCCCCCAGATAGCAAGGTAATAGTTTAGCAGGTTTGAAATGTGTCAGCAGCAGAACACATCACAACAAAGGCTAGGCTCTCAAAAACCCCTTTTTTTTTAATACCGCCAACTCCTTAACCAGACCATTTCCATTGCTACACTGTCATCTAGATGTTCCCTGTCCACTTGGTCTGCTTGGTCCAACTTCTGGAGCTCCTTCCATGGTGCCAGCATAAGCAGGGTAATTGACATTTAACCTGACAATGAGCACAAGATGATTGTGTGTGCTCTGCTGTGTTTCCCCAAAATACTAATGCGTGTTTCCCATGGGCTTTTGAACAACTGTACTTAATATGCAACTCTCAATTATCAAGGCAGAAAATTTTGAATGACAGGAAAAACAGAAGATTCAAATGACATGGATAACCTTCTCCCTTCCCGTCAATACAATATAATCTGAGGTACATACACCATAGAATGGACAATCATTAACAATCAATTGTAATAAGTGAGTTGAAGTGAAGAGCATGATTTACTGAATGAAAACTGCTTCACTGTATTCATAATAAAAAATTAAAAGACAAACAACAAAAATTTAAAGGTACAAAACAGTGGATAAAATTTGAATTCTACACAGGAAGAAAAATTGCAATGTATAGCAAACTATTTTAAACAATTACGAATATATACACAAAGGATATCTTCCTCAATCTGAGATCCTAACTCTTCCTCATCAGCTCCAATAGCAACGTAGTCATCTAAAAAATAGGAACAAAGAATCATCAACAATAAGTTATCTTACCATTTTATGAGAAAATATCAATAAAGGGTAAACCAAACATATTGTCAGGAGGGAACAGTCGCTGGAGAAGGATGTCATGCTGGGTAAGATGGAGGGTCAGAGAAAAAGAGGAAGACCCCCAATGAGATGAATCGGCCAG